AAAGACACGCACACGAAGAATGAGCACACTGACTCTTCTGAACTTGTCTTTTTATGTCAAAGGCATAATTTCCCTAAATTAAAGGAGAGGTGAAAATATCCAGGCCTACCGTGGAGTCCAGAGGGTGTCCATAAAATCTAGGGCCAGCCCCAAACATGATGGTGGTACTTGATCTTCTTCCTATATGGTCCATATTTAAGACAAGACCCTTGGCCAGAATGACTGATACTCAACGCAATTTGAGTTTATACAATTCCTTCGGGCATGGACATTGTGAGGTGCACCCCTGTACAGAAAACCACTACACGATCTTTCTATTCTGAACTCATTACACTTGCCAACAAAAACAAGGATGTGTGGGGGGGGGGGCCAGTCAAAATGTGAGTCCCATCAAGTTCCCAGGGAGACGCATAACCAAAGAGGATTCACAAACTGTGACAACACATCCACCTGGACCACTCAGAGTCCAAACCCACCTTTCAGAAACAGATACTCTTCAGTGGGTTTAGACTGGTACATATCTACCTTAGGTTCTCTCCCTTCCTCCCCCAAACTGCCTAAAAAGTGCGTAAACTTAAAACTCCTGGAAGAACCCACATTTTTTTTTATCTCAAATCCAGTTGTCTGGTATGTTAGTTTTTTTTTTTTAGAAGTGGAAAAACAACACTCACCACTTGGCTTTTGGAGACATTATCACTGAACATCAAATGAGCATCAGTCATTATTATATCTAAAACGAAGAGTGTAAAAGAAAAGATTCTATGTATTTTGTAGGGTGGAATAATTCAGTTTAGTTTGAAATTTATGAGCTCCATTGAACACAGCATCAATTTCTGTGGCAGTGACATATATGACAAAAGCTGTAGGGTTTTTTGTTGTTGTTGTTTTGTTTTTCTAGGAAGAAGGTTCTAATGTGCACTGCAATGAATTTGAAAAATAACTGACATAACACACCACTGATGCACTGACCCACAAGAGCCCAGAACAGTTTTTGGACAGTTGGATAACTGATTTAATTGTGAAGTGATCCACCTTTAGTTGAACAGAAAATGCTGGCCAGAAGACATTTTGTTCTCTTTATTCACAAAGAATAGCCTGCATAACCAGGGATGGTGGCTCACGCCTGTAATCCCAGCACTTTGGGAGGCTGAGGCAGGCGGATCACCTGAGGTCAGGAGTTCGAGACCAGCCCGGCTAACATGGTGAAACCCTGTATCTACTAAAAATACAAAAATTAGCCAGGCGTTGTGGCATATACCTGTAATCCTAGCTACTTGGGACCCTGAGGCATAAGAATCACTTGAAAACGGGAGGTGGGGGTTGCAGCAAACCAAGATCATGCCACTGCACTCCAGCATGGGCAACAGAGAGAGACTCTATCTCAAAAACAAACAAACAAACCAAAAAAAAACAAAGAATATCCCGCATCAAAATGTGACAGTAACACTAACAGCTTTGACTCTCATATTTAAATCCATCTGTTTGACCATGGTTAAAAATAACAAAATAATCATGATAGTTATGATTATGGCTCCCTGAAAGATTTCACAACCGGCTGCTCAACTGTGATTTTTTTCCTTAATTTTGGAGCTAATATGACTTTCTAAGGAAATCTCTGAAAATAAAAACGTCATTATGCAAAACTTCTTGCCTATGTTTTCACCTTGAAGCGACGTTTCTTTAATAAAGAATCAAGACACAGACCCAAACATGAATGAATATGCATTCATTCATTCATTCTTCATTCATTGTTTTGAAAAGGTAATTCAAACTAGGCCAGAGACATGTAATAACATCTTTGAAAAGACAGGCTGGGCACCCATGGCTCACTCCTGCAATCCTAGCACTTTGGGAGGTCGAGGTGGGTTGACTGCTTGAACCCAGGAGTCCAAGATCAGCCTGAGCAACATGGTGAAAACCTGCCTCTACTAAAAATACAAAAATTAACTGGGCATGTTGGTGCATGACTGTAATCCCAGCGGAGGCTGAGGTGGGAGGATCATTTGAACCTGAGAGGCAGAGTCTACAGTGAACTGAGATTGCACCACTGCACTCCATCCAAGGTGACAGAGCGAGACCCTGTCTCAAAAAAGAAAAGAAAAAAAAAAGGCAGAGTGCTGAATAAGGTCTTCTTTCAGTTAACAGTTTGAAAATTATGCTGGTTTGGGATATAAATAAAAAGTTAATTTTAATGTAACAAATTATCAACATAATCTAAATTAACTTATACAAATGTTGTATGAATATGAAAGGTTTTAAAAGAAGTCAGCTAGTCAGTAACTGAGGGAAAAATTACCTTGTTCTGATTTATCTCATGGTGGAACAGGGAGTAACAAAAAGACTATATAAACAGTTAATTAACTGTCCCTCAGTGAACTTGTTCCCAAAAAATGTCAATGATGCCCTTGAAATTAGGCACCATTGATCTGGAACTTCAATGTGTCCCTGGATTTCAAATCAACATTTATTCATTAAGGCCTAATGACCTTAATTTTTATTTTATTTTATTTATTTATTTTTGAGATGGAGTTTCACTCTTGTTGCCCAAGCTGGAGTGCAATAATGAGATCTCGGCTCACTGCAACCTCCGCCTCCCAAGTTCAAGCGATTCTCCTGCCTCAGCCTCCCTCTCCTGCCTCAGCCTCCCAAGTAGCTGGGACTACAGGCGCCCGTCACCACACTCGGCAATTTGTTTGTATTTTTAGTAGAAACGGAGTTTCACCATGTTAGCCAGGCTGGTCTCAAACTCCTGACCTCAGGTGATCCACCTGCCTCAAGTGCTGGGATTACAGGCGTGAGCCACCGCACCCGGCCGACCTTAATTTTTAGAATTGCTCTTGGAAGTATGACAGTTGTGGGTCAAAAGTAATTTAACCAAAACCTGATCCTACCTTTCTCAATAACTCAAACATCTTTTAAGTATTCTGTGTTTTCCTCACCAGATCTGCCTCATAAACATGGACTGAGAAAGAGAAATACTGGTTTAAATTAAGTATGTAAAATTACTGCTATTACTCAAACTGTGAATCAAATTTAGAGTTTTGGTACATTCAAGTCCCTCAACTAGGACTAGTTTCTTGGAAAGAAAGTGTAAATCTGAATTTGGCACATAAGGATAACGTCCTAAAGATACTCTTCTCTACTTAACCGTCTGGCTTTTGCAGCCCCATCTTTTGATATTACAAATGCAGTTGGAACACTATCAACCAAGGAACACTACACTGAGTTCACATTATCCCACTCCACAGCTCTATCCTACTGAAAAAGTACACTGGAAATATGATATGTTTTATGTACTCCCCATAGAACATAAATAGAAAAGACTTGTTCACCATTATTGCAGAGCCATTTGCAATTTTTGTGTCTTAAGCCAAAATACAAACCAAAATTAAAATGTTCTTGTCTTTCCAATAAAGCAAATTTTCCTTTCTCAAAAAGCCTATTTATCCACCCTATTTAATTTTTCCAGGAACTAAGAACAATACAGACCCAGGTATGTCATAAACAACAGCACAACCAAACACTTCTTTCTAGTTCTGAAACCTAATGATCATCTGGCTAGAAAGATAGAGAACCCCATGGAGAGTCCTCTATCCCATTTCCTGACTTGGGTTTACTAGAGGTACTGTTGTGGCTTCTTTCTCCATCTCCTGGAAATGCTTTTTCCTTCAGGGGCCTGGGATATGGATTTTGACTCACAATGAAGTCCACTCCCATTTCCTCCAGACCTGGCAACAGTAGGATCCTCACTGCTAAGGAGGAACTTCGGTGAAAGAAAGGGGAAACTTGACTCAGGAGTCTCAGCGCTGACTTTTTTTTTTTTTTCCTTTTTTTTTTTTTCCTTCCTGCTCCAGAAGAGAGCCTTAAAGCACTGATGAGAGGGTCCTGAATCAGTGTATGGAGTCAATTTCCCCGCCCCTTCGAGAAAGTCAATCACACCCAGTTAGTGACCAGGGCACACAAAATCTCCACACAGGAAAAAGACAGCGTTTGAAACAGGAAATAAACAAAAATCAGAATTCTGTTCTTTCACTTCTTAAAGTATCTTTTCACTTCTTAAAGTATCTTTTTCCTCCCGACAGGCAATTGCTTTCCCAAAATACCAAACTGGGACTTTGAAATCAAGTTCTCTTTCTATTGCTCTCCGCAGTTCTCACTGAAAGAAAGGATTTGTTTTGGTTCCACATGTTGAAAAATTCACGACTCTATAATTAAGAGTTTATATGCCACGCCTTCTACCGCATTTCCCTGTTAAAACTCCCTTCTCTAAAAGAGATCCCTGAAAACACAACTACCAGCCCACCTTTAAAGCAGCCACAGGAAACAGATCTGAAGATTCTCAGCAGCCATCCTAACCCCTCCAAATACAAAGTTGGCAGCTGAAGGGATTTCTCGGTTAAAATGAGCGAATACTAGTTGCAGTTTTAGAAGTGTGCCCCCAAGAGACGAGTTTTCCCACGAGCTCATAATTAATACACACCCCAAGTGAATTTCTCACATCCTGACTGGATTACACAAAAGGATATTTTACATTGATATATAAGAATAACATTGATATTCTTTTAATATATAATAGGCCACAAGGAGACAAAAAAATACAAAACTTTTTTTCTTTTCAACGAGCATAATTTTTGAGTCGATGATTCATAATTTTTTTGCGGCATTTTAAAATCCCTCAATATAGAGAGAGACACACCCCTCTGGTTGGGGTTCTCAGGTATTACTGGGAACCTAGGGTGTGGGGGTCTAAGGATACAGACAAGACCTAAACGTCCAATCCTGGAGTATTCTTCACGTACAAGCTCGGTCGGAGTCCCAGGAGTTAAGCCCTACCCTCCACCCCTACTACCCCCTAAAAGTGCCCGTTCCCATTGGGAAACAGGAGTGAGCTGCACAAGGAAATCGACCGGGGGAAGAGGAGGAGCAGCTGCAACAGCCAGCTGCAGCCACACAACGGTGCCACTTCCCTCCCGTCTCGTAGTGGAGCAAAACGCCCTTACCTGGGGGGTGGAGAGCCGCCGGCACTAGTTCCAAAAGTTCTCGTCCACCTCCTCTTGGAGTTCAAAGCCCCAGCACTCCGGCCCGTCCGCCGGCTCGCAGCACACGAGTCCTTCCCCGTCCCTTCCCCACCCTGCCTGCACTACACCATGTCAGGAATCCGGGCAGGCACCGAGCTGGGAGCTGACATCACTCCCAGTTCAGGTACCTCCCCCTCCCACTGCCGCCCTTCTCTCCTCCCTCCCTGCAGGAATCAGCCAAAGAGAGTCAGCAGTGGGGCGGAGCCGGAGGCGCCTGCGCGCCCGCTGATTGGAGCCGGGGAACGTCACTCAGAGGAGTCCACTAATTTTATACATTCCTCGCTGAGCCAGACTAGGGCTGGAAGTGGGTGGATGGAAGAAAATGCTGCCCTTCCTGCTATCTCTAAGGAACGGAGATAATGCGATGGGGAAGAACCTGGCGGGTCGAGTTTTAGACTTTTCTTGTTGTAGTTACTGAGATTGCAGATCAGAAACGAAACTAACCCACGCGAACCCCCTTTTTAAGGAGAAACAATTGCCTCAGTGTCACGGGCACACGGGCATGTACGAGCCCGGCGGCGCGTGGTGTAGAAAATGGCTAGCTTTAAGCCATGCAAATAAAGGAAAACGTCAGCTCACCCTTCTGCCCTTTTATCCTGGGACTGCTGGGTGTTCCCTTAGACGGGGAATGTAGAGCTTCAAAAGCACTTCAGAAAGATTTGGAAGAGACTCCTGAAAACGGTGACCGAGCTTTGAATTGCTAAGTGGTGTTATCAGCCATGTGGCTGCTTTTGCTTTTAGCGATGAAAATCACACCACACAAGCTTCTCGGGCAAGTAAAATTGAATCTCTGAAGCAAGAAAAATTTATTTACTCGTTTAAAGACCTTAAGGCTGCTGTTTTAATGCACACACTGAAAAGGGTGGAGGAAGGAGGGACCTCACAATTGAGTTCCACAAACCACATGAGAATAATTACTGTTGAATGGAACCAATTGTAGTGGCTGAGCTATCAATTAAGAATTAACTAACGTTTATCCTTGACAGATATCATGCGGTATAATCCCCTTGGCTGACAGAAGAGAAAGATTCTCAGAAGATGGTTCTTTCAAGGCAGATGCTACTTAGAGGCGGGACTGAATGGTGAAAAGCAGCTTTATTTGTGTGAGATATAGGTAGCATATAACCCACCATCTTCTAGAAATATAGTGAATTAATAACTTTCTTTTTTTCTCTTTTTTTTAAAAAAACAGCTCACTCTGTCACCCAGGCTGGAGAGCAGTGGCACGATCTGGCTCACAGCAACCTCCTCCTCCTGGGTTCAAGTGATTCTCCTGCCTCATCCTCCAAGTAGCTGGGACTACAGGCGCCCACCACCACACCCGGCTAATTTTTGTATTTTTAGTAGAGAGGGGTTTCTGCCATGCTGGCCAGGCTGGTCTCGAAATCCTGACCTCGAGTGATCCGCCTGCCTCTGCCTCACAAACTGATGGGATTACAGGTGTGAGCCACCGCACCAGGCTTCATTGTTTTTTGATGGATGACATGCCTTACATTTCACCGATCTGCCAAAAATTGTAGAGGGATGCACAGAATCCAGCATTGTGTCTTGTTTAATCTTCCCAATCATCCTGTAAATTGAGTGTTATTAGCCCTATTTTAACAGAAGGAATCAAAGGCTCAGCAAAGTTATATAAGTAAATTTCTCCAGATCACCCGGAACTTGGATTGAAACCAAGGTCTATTTGACTCCAAAGCCATAGTTTTTCTTTCCATATCTCAAGTATTGAGTGTCCATAATTTATATTTTTTCAAACAATAGAATGCTACAAGAAATCCACAGGCTTGGGCCACTGCGCTCACAGACCTACTTTGTATCATTACCCTCTTGTTGCTTGTCAGGCCTGCACTATCCCAAACTCCTGACTTGAATTTCTGACTCCAGTTTCCCCCAATTCTAATTCTTTCAATGTACCACTCCCAGATGAGTTTTCTAAAATGTTTGGTTTTGTCATCAACCTCTTCCCCTCTAAATCAGGTCCCCCTTTCCCGGCAATTCTTTTCTAGCCATTTAAAACTCTCCCTTATCTGGCTTCTACTTCCCTTTCCCAGCTTATCTCCTATTTCGCTCCCAGGAAACCCTCTCTGTAGTCAAAACAGGTCTACTCACAGATCCCTGCTTCGTTCTCACCTTTCAGCCTAACCGGAATCCCCACTCATCTGTGTGTTAAGTCCCACCCTTCTCTCAAAGCCTAATTAAAGTCCTTGTCCTGTGCCAAGACTTAGCTGTGTGTTACAGCAGACAGGAAAAAGGACTCAAGGTTCTTGGCCTGGCTCTGCCACTTACCTATTGGGTAACTTTGGGCAAGTCACTAAAACATCCATCCCTAATCTCAGTTACCTCCTCTTTAAAATAGGGCTGACAATACCTACGTTAAAGGTTGTTATAAGGATTGAGATTGTAGAGATGTGTAAACATGTGGTTATACATGTCCAGTTAAATGCCTTTCCTGCCTTCCCAAACTCTGAAGAGCAAGCATATTGCTTATAGGACCTCTTTATATTCCTTGTACCCAATTCAAGGAAAAGGCTCAATAAAAATACAGGGTGTGAGAAAATGGATCATTGTATCATTTCTACTCTCTTCCATTCTTTAAATGTACTGTATCCCCAAATAATATCTCAGACAAAAACTAACTGTTTCTTCTTGTTCTTTTTTTTCCTCTCTCTCTCTCTCTATCTTTTTATGCTTTGGCCAGAGCCCTTCCGTTCTCCCACACCCCTACCCACCATTTGTTCAACACCCTTAACTCCCTCAGATTACTTCTGGACCAACTACTTCACCTTTCTCTTAGCTACTCACCCTTCCCTGTCCCACAGTCAGGGACACAACTTGTCCATCAGTGTCTGTTGCCTGTCTTGCTCCCAGATGCCTTCAAACAGAGGCTGGGTGGCTACCAGCCATTCCTACAGCCCTAGTCAGGACGGCTGCATCCAGGCTCACATTCTTCCAAAACTACAGCCAGCCGCAGGAGATGGGGGAGGGAATGTCCCACCCCCACAGAGATGGCAGGATAGAAAAACAGGAAGTCGCCTCCCATCCTCCCTGCAGCTGGAGTGATAACAGCTGCCATCCAGAATCCAGAAAACAAAAGACTCAAAGGGAAGGCTGAAAACAGGCCAGGTTTGGAGCAGTAATGTTCAAGCTAGAGGTTATAGAGTGGGTGACGAAGGAACCAATGGTTGAGATTTCAGCCTCTTTCCCCCCCGTCTTTAACCAGAGTTACAGCTCTTTTATCTGCTCTACATTTAGGCTTCACTATGATACTTCATTTTTTGAAGACAGTGTAACCCTTAAATAAACATACTGAAATCACTGGCCTCTGGGTATCTTGGGGAAACTCCAAAAAAATCAGGATAGTGCAGCAGAAGCAACACAGGATGCCTGATGAGAAGGTAACCAGAACTGACTCACTATCCCGGCTCCTGGCTGGCTTAGTGCAAATGATTATTTATGATTCCTATGGTTTCAATGCTAATTTACTCTGTAGGTCTAGATATTTTCTGCCTAGTTATTCCTATGACCAGCCTTACCTTTGGTAACTTTTTGCCAAAGAGTACCACTATTGGGGGGTAGGGAGCAAGAGACACCGCAGAGCAGGAGTAAACTACTCAATTAGAACTTGAAATGGATCCTAAAAGTCATTTGATGCAACCACTATTAAAATGCAAGAAACCCTTCATCAACATTCCTTACAGGTAACTTCCAGCCCCTGCTTGAACTCATCTGGCAACCAGTAACACACAAAGAAGCAAGCAGCCCACCATTAAAGATCTTTCTCATCTCCATCTGAATCCTGCTATACTGACTTTCTCCCCAAAGACATCTGTCTTGTGTCCCATTTAATCCTCACAAACATCCTGTAAGTGTTACTAGCATCATTTTGACATGAGGAATCAAAGACTCTCCAGGGTTATACAAGTAAATTGCTCCAGATTGCCCAGAACTGGGATTGAAACCAAGGTCTAGGGGCCGAGCGCGATGGCTCATGCCTGTAATCCCAGCACTTTGGGAGGCCGAGGTGGGCAGATCACGAGGTCAGAAGATTGAGACCATCCTGGCCAACACGGTGAAACCCCATCTCTACTAAAAATACAAAAATTAGCTGGGTGTGGTGGTGGACACCTGTAATTCCAGCTACTCGGGAGGCTGAGCCAGGACAATGGCTTGAACCCGGGAGGCGGAGGTTGCAGTGAGCCAAGATCGCGCCACTGCACTCCAGCCAGGTGACAGAGCAAGACTCCGTCTCAAAAAAAAAAAAAGAAAAGGAAAGAAAAAGAAAAGAAACCAAGGTCTATTTGACTCCAAACCTATTTTGTCTTTCTATTTCTAAAGCATTGATTGTCCACAATTTACACTGTCACTTCTGCCCTTTGCAGTAACAGAACAAGCTGACTCTTTCTGTCACCCCATCCCCAAACCTGAGCAGGCATGAGGACATCTCCCCTACTTTGGATACGGATGCCATAAGAGGCTCACCCTACTCATCAAGTCCACGTCATTGGCCTGTCTGGGCTTTATAGGCTTCCAGGTGCAGCTCTCTAAAGCACAACCCTGATCACTCCTGACTCTAAAAACTTAAATGACTCTCCCTTTACTAAGGAACAAAACTCATCAGGCTTTCTTGACTAGTGTCCAAAAGCCTTCACATCCTTGCCCCCAACTTACCTTTCTGAACTTATTTTCCACTCTTCTTCATATCCCCACAGTGCATGAACTGCATGACTTTGCACCCATATTCCCTAATAATATGTCCTCACTGTGATTTTTGCCCGTTTCTACAAAAATCTACCTCACAGTGTGGTTGCAAGGATCTGACAGGATGTCATATGCAAGATGACAGAGCACCTTGCCTGACACATCATAGGTCATAAGCAAACATATTTTCCTCTTTCCTATGACATAAAACAATCGTACTGTTATTTTTAGAGGTGCCTTATGTTCCTTTCTGGCTGCAAGTTTCTTACAGCCCTCAAGAACAGAATGCTAATTTAGTTCATCTTTACATCCTTTATAGGATCTAGAACCATGTTTTGTCCCATAGATACTGATTAAAGATTCACCAGATGAATGAATGAATGAATGCTGTCTTTTGCTCATAACCTGCTATGGTCTAGGTCTTCAGAAGTTCAGGAATAACTTGACCAGACTGATCACAAAGGATCTGGGTGCCTC